TGAGCGACTTCTTGACTTGGAGTATGCAGACGATATTGCCCTAATCTGTGACAGCTCCCAAACATGCCAAACAGCACTGAACCGATTAGCACTGGCTGTCAATCGTTTTGGGCTATGCTTTGCTCCATCGAAATGCAAAGTACTTCTCCAAGATTGGCAGGGACCCAACCCTGCGCTAACGCTTGGTGGTGATCTGCTAGAAGTCGTTCAGGAATTCAAGTACCTGGGCAGCTATATTAGCACCCGTGGGATTGAAGATGAGGTTACGAACCGTATAGCAAAAGCTCGAGGTGCTTTTGCCAATCTCCGCCACCTGTGGCGCAGACGCGACATTACTCTCGCCCTGAAGGGCAGAGTTTACAACGCAGCCGTCCGTTCAACTCTCCTATATGGCTGTGAAACCTGGCCCATCAGGTCGACAGACATGAAGAGACTCGTCACATTCGATCATCGCTGCCTTCGCAGCTTAGCTCATGTCTGGTGGGAACACCGCGTGAGCAATGAGCGTGTTCGGCGTCGCGTATTTGGTGCAGGAAGAGCGAGTGAACCGCTCAGCACGATTATATCACGCACCAGGCTCCGATGGCTGGGCCACGTGTTGCGCATGCCAGCACACCGACTCCCACGACGTGCTTTGTTTACGCGTTGTGGGTGCGGTTGGAAGAGGAGGAGGGGAGGCCAAGTGATGACTTGGTCGAGAGAAATGAAAACCCTCACTTCGAAGTTGGCATCGGTTGGTGCATCCCGACTGCCTGGTTGGGGTCCTAAGGACGGTGAACACGTTTGGTTGGACACACTTGCTGATATGGCTAGGTGCCGGCCCCAATGGCGTTTGTGTTGTGAGTTCCTTTGTCTATCCCCCTCCTGTTTAGCATCCCCCTCCAATCACGATCTCAATCGTTTGGCATAATATGACTTTCTTTTACGGCAGCCAGCTGTTAGCTCTCAGGAACGATGTCCATCCGTTACTGGGGACTCAGCGGGCGTGCCACTGTTTGTTGTTGTTGTTGTTGTTGTTTTTTCGTCTTTTCTTGCCTTTTGTATTGCGGCACAATAGCTGAGGTGTTTTCCACCCCCAGCTAACGTGTAATGATGATGATGATGACCACAAACAGCTGGCTATCGTGCAAAGATAAGGCGGCATCGCCAAGACAGCTTCGTTGCGGCTTTCACTGCCACGCGTCATTATGAGCTATTACCCCGCAGATAACTCAGCACCAAACATACTTTAAACAGGCAATCCGATTAGAAGACGGCAGCAGACGTGCCACTGGTGTCGGTTGCGAGTCACCTACAAAGTTTCCAGCCAAGCACAAGGTGAGTCACGTGGACTCCAACCCGGAAGGCGAGACGGACCAACGGCACCAAGTTTGGTTGTCAGTGACTTCATTTCTCGCTGCCAAGTCAACTTCTGTCCACTTCGAGCCTTGCGCCATCCTACACCAGGGAGACTGAATAAGGCCCTCCTAGGTAAGCACTGACCAGGCATGCGTACCACGTGCCCGAGCCAACGCAACTTATTCAGTGATATCTGTTGTTTTAGGGAGCGGGCATGATTATCACTACTTAGTACTCGCCTACGCACATCATCTTTGCGGACACGTTGGTGCCATCCGACACCAGCAATGCTTCGCAAACAACGATGATCAAAGACTTGAAGGCGCCTCAGATCTTCAGACCGAAGGGGCCAAGTTTCACAACCATAGAGCAGAACGGCCCTCACTGTGGTCTTGTATACACGGCCTTTCAGACGGAGGGAAACTTCCTTCTGTCGCCAAAGATGCCGCAAGTTCAAGAAGGCAGCTCTGGCCTTTGCAATGCGTGAGCTCACGTCAGTTTCTATGCGCCCATCATTGCTGATGCAGCTGCCAAGATAAGTGAATTGATCAACCACATCGAGTTCCTCGATAGCGAGCGTCAAGGGGTCATCAAGTGGCTGGTGGTCCTGCATCAGCACTTTGACTGTGCAAAATGCATACCAAATAATGGGACCACTCTGGACAGGCTATTCAGGGTTGATTATGCCGCCGCAAAATCGTCGAAAAGCAAGACGATATCGTCCGCATAATCTAGGTCAACTAACCTTTCACCAGTCAGCACTTCAACGCCTACATCGTTGGATTCCGCAAGGGAACACTCCATGATAGAATCCACGACGAAATTGAACAGAAACGGGGAAATCGGACAACCCTTACGAACGCCACTTGTAGTCGAAAAGCTATCCGATAGGACACCATAGACCCTGACGCGGCCTGTAGTGTTCGAGAATAGAGCACGAAGGACGTTCACATCATCCATGCGCAGGTAATTCGAACAGAATCGATCGATCGACCGAATCGAACGCGCTCTTGAAATCGAGGAACACAGCTATTGTCGGTCTGCGGTATGGGTGGCGCTGCTCTAGCACCCGCCGCAAAGTGATTATATGGTCTATACAGCCACGTCCTGGGCGAAAACCGGCCTGATCTTCCCTTATATATATATATATATATATATATATATATATATATATATATATATATATATATATATATATGGTTGGCGGCATCCGGTTTCGGATTTGCCTGTCACTGTGGTCAGCCACAGGACGCCTGCGCCTACAGAGGGACCATGGATGGCTTGCGCTGCACCACCCACAGCTCCATCCACACACCCCATATCCAGTGTAAACCCGAATGAATAAGACCAGGAGGCTTGCGGATGGGAGCCACGTTTCATCAACGGAGCCGGCCCACACTCCTTCACAGACAAACACAAGCACGCTGTATTTGGGGAATCAAGTGTACACAAGGCGGTGGCTGGACTGTAGTCCGCTCCACACTGAGTGCATGGAACCACACTTCGAGCCTAGCACGACCACAAGGACCGTGCAACCCGTCCCCTCCAGCAACGACCAACTGTCTCCTGGAGCCAGTATGGACGAGGTAGTGGGTAATAGACAGGTAGGCACCTTGTCAACATGCACATCAAGCGCAGCCACACCTGGGATGTCAAACAACAGCCAACCATTCGAAATGCCGATATCGATTAAGGTAAACGCATATGACGACATAAATACTCGCTGAATGAGCATATAGAAGAAATTGGTTATAAGTGAATCCGTGATAAGTACAAAATGTACGAAAGTTATTTAAAATATACCACGCGATAAAATTACGCAACTTTACCACAAGTTGCGTGAGAGACGTGTGCAAGTAAGGAGAAGATTATCAAGTAGGCAGAACAAACCAAGTTCAAGTTCAAGTTCAATTGGGACCGGAACAGTAGGAAAATCCCGCGAATGTTCCACCTTCGAAAACGTCGTTGATCCAACAGGGAAACCGGTGCCTTGATGTGCCAAAGGAGAGCCAAATCAACACACACGATTCATATGGTCAACCAAACAATGCCCACGTGCCCTGCACTAGCAGTCCCCGCTGTGCCGGCCACGTGAAGAATAAAAGAAAACAGTAGTGTCAGTAAAGAAAAGAAAACAGAGAAGACAAGCTAATCTAATATCGTAGGCAATATTAAAATGTAAGTTAAAATGAGTTAAAGAAGCGTAAGCCGTAATAGACGAAGAAAAGTTTAAGACACGAAGGGGAAGACTTTAAACTGCAGACCGAGAGCGTCAAGTCGATGCTCGAACTCTTTCAACGTCGGTGCCATCACGACGTCTGCAGGCAATGTGTTCCAATAAGCTATAACCCTACGCGATAATCTAAAAGTTGCCAAAACCCGGTCAGACCGGGGTTTGTGCAACTTTAATGGGTGGCCACGAAGGGTTGGCATTCGAGTTGGGCGAAACAGTCCAGTCAAATCAGGACCAATCTGACCCATCAATATACGATATGTAAGGACCAAGTCGCCCCGAAGCCGCCTGTAATACATGGAAAACATATCCAACTTACGTAGCCTCTCCGGGTACGTCAGCTTCTTTAAGTCGTACACCATTTTCGTCCCGGACCGCAGGACTCGTTCAACTGCCATCTTATCACGAACCAGGCATGGAGGACAAGCCTGGACGCAGTATTCCAAGTGCGGCCTTACAAAAGCCGAAAATAGTCTAACAAACATGTCGGTGGTCATGATCCCGAATGACCTGCGGATCATCCACAACATGTTGAAGCCTTTACGAGCAGCTGTCTTCCAGTGTTCACTGGACTTGAAGTCAGATGACAGCAAAACACCGAGGTCAGATTGGAGTTGAACTCGCGGTACCTCGTTGCCGCCAAGCAAATAACGCGTCGGCGGGTCATTCGGACCAACGCGTAGAACGGAACATTTCCCTAAATTAACTGGCAACTGCCACAAAATTGACCAGTCCCAAAGTCTATCCAGAGCCTCCTGTAGGGTCAGTGGACCAATCGGCTCGTCTATCGTGAACCAGAGTTTTAAGTCATCCGCAAACATTAGGGATGGCACACCCAATTCATCAGGTAGGTCATTAACGTATAAAGTGAAGAGAAGGGGGCCAAGAACCGAACCTTGCGGCACGCCACTGAGAACACATTGGCGGAAGGACAAGCTTGAACCCACCCGCACACACATTTCCCTTCCGATTAGGAAAGCTGAAATCCATCGTAAGACTGGTCCAGAAATACCAAAGGAATTCAGCTTGTACAAAAGGCGCGAATGTGGAACGGTGTCAAAAGCTTTGGAAAAGTCAATAAACAGCACGTCTACTGCCTTCCCGCAATCAACGGCTTCGGCCCAGTGTTCACGAGCGGTTAACAAGTTAGTAAGGCAAGAATAGCCCTTACGAAAACCGTGCTGAGAAGGAGTAAGCAAGTCAAACGCTTTCAAATGTCCTTCGAGAGCGTCCCTCACGAGCTTTTCCAATAACTTGACCAGCACGCTCGTTAAACTGACCGGTCTATAGTTATCAGGGAGGTGCTTATCACCTTTCTTAAAAATGGGGCAAACAATAGCCTCCTTCCAGTCCTTGGGTAGAGAGCAGCCTCGTAGAGACTTCACAAAAAGATGCGTAATCGGAGAGCAAAGTTCATCAGCCAACTCGTACAACAGTTTGGGATGAATAGCATCTCCACCGGCAGCTTTATTGGGATTTAACTGCCTCAAAAGCCGGAGCACTTGAGCCTCGGTTATAGAAACCTCCTCCAAGTGGGAGCCCTCAGGAACTTTTGCCTGGAGACTGATATGCGGCGGCTGTGACTCTCTAACATAAACCCCAGCATACTGTTCTCCAAGCAAACAAGCTTTTTCGTGATCCGTGACAACAGCAGTGCCGTCCGGGCCAAACAACACTGGGATGCACGAATTCATGTTGCTTCGCCTTTTGACATAAGCGAAGAAGCGTTTCGGGTTTGATGAGGCTATACGAGCAAGCTCTACTTCATGCTGTAGACGAGCACCACGTAGATACTGCCTGCAGGCATTTCGAACCTCACGATATCGCTTGAAAGTGCATAATGAAGGAGCAGATAAGTAAGTACGCCAACATCTGGCACGTCTGTTAAGTTGTTTGCGTACAGCAGAATCAAACCAGGGTGGCTTTGCCCTAGTTTTATTCCTGCCAGATAGTGGTATATGGGGGAGAGAGAGCTCACTCAAGTATGATTTAAAGCTTTCCCAGGCCGTTTGAATATCGTCACTTTCCAAAATGACACAAGGCGACTTTGCGGCTTTGGCTTTCATTGTCTGAAAGTCTGCGCGCCATATATTTGGTACTCGGTCGGGATGATCATTAGTCTGACGACTAAGGGCGCACTTAAATGAGAGACATGCGTGGTCGCTAGCACCGAAAGGTGAGTTGTATACAATATTGGTGACAAAATCAATGGATTTAGCGAAGATCAAGTCCAAGAGGGACGGGTTTTGACCCATCATGAATCTAGTAGGCAGATCGACAAATTGGTGCAGGGAAGCATGCAAGGCCAGCTCGAGAAGCTCGGTAGCCAAACACCTTGTAACAGCGCCGCAGGAAAAATTCTGCCAGTCAACGTCGGGAAGATTGAAGTCCCCCATCACTAAACACCTATTTGCCGAATGCTCGCGGATGAAATCAGCAAGCCCCTTAGCAACGCTGTCGGGGCTTCTATAGACCAGCACAATTTTAAGTTGCGCGGAGGCAATACACAGGTTAACTGCGAGTGCCTCAACATCACCCTCTGATGATCTGAAACTATAGGTCTTACAGACAGTAAGTGCGGAGTTAACGTACAAAACAACACCACCTCCGCGCCGATCAGAGGTGCGGTCACATCTCAGCAGTGCGTAGCCTGGCAAGCACACTTCACTGTCCGTGACGTCGGTGGACAACCACGTTTCAGTGAATGCGAGGACATCTGGACGGCAGTCGTCGACAAGAGCGCCGACTTCGCACAGCTTGTTTCGCAGGCTACGCACATTGCTTAAGATCACCTGAAGGGATTTAACATTGTGAGTCCGGGATCGTGCGCCACCAGAACCGGCTCTGGTAGGGCGGAAGTGGACCGCCGGCTCACCACCCGAAAACCCACCAAGCGGAGACCCTTTTCTCCTGCTTCACGGCGGGCTTTAAGATCCTTGACAGCTTCCCGCAATTTCAGCCTATCCGCCAAAGGGAGGTCTGGGTGCACAATGACACCACTGCCCTTGAGCTTAAAGGCGAAACGCAGAAGTGCTTGGCGCTCCTCCGGAGTGGACAGAACAACTCGCAACAAGCGAGGGCGAGACTTGTCGGCTGGCAAGTTACCGAGTCTGGTTAGTTTGCGCACAGTCACACCGGGGAAGCCGGGAGGCAGGAGTTTGGTAATGCATACTCTAAACCACTTAAGGTCATCTAGCATACGGTCTTTTGGGAGAACAGCAGAAGACTCAGTGGCGTTTCTGAAAATAACACTGCAGTCGGTATACGAGTCTCCGCGACGCGGAGTATTTACCGAACGCTCCATGGACGTCGGTGGTTTCAGTTTAGTGTCCGTTTCTATAGACTCTAATGTCGTAGATGTTTCCAGTTGCAAGGATTCCGTAGTAGTAGAATTTGAGGGGGGGGAATGGGCGCCCGACGGACCTCTCATGTCCGCCTTTGGTTTTGCCGCTTTTTTAACCCTCTTTCGCCTTCTTTTGACAAGTGCAGAAACCTGCTGCTCTCCTTCGCTAACAGCCGAATCAAACACGCTGTCTGAGGGCTCGTTACTAACAAGGTCTTTGCTAACAGGTAAACTGACATTCGACAGTAAACAATCAGATGCAGGATCAGACAACTTGCCAGTGTCTTCTACTGTCTCCTGACAGAGAAGACCTGAGCGTTCTAGGCCCTGCACAATCCTTTCAACTTTCCTGTCTAACGAGACAATCAGAGACAACAAACTTTCCAAAGAAACAGGACTGCTCTTTACTGGCGTGTAACGCTCAGTCCTGGGCCTACAACAGTCATTACAACGGTAGAGTAAACTCTCGCTACTGGACAGAAGAGCGTACTGTCTACGATCCAAGCCAGTACAGGCCTTATGGAACCAACGGCTACAGATATCGCACTGCATGCCCCCGGACGAATCTGTAACCGCTTCTAGACAGCCCACTTTACCACATATGACCACAGAGTCGTCAGAAGGCGGACACGGCGAGTTTAAGCAGCGCTTGACAACCATCGTGACGGAGAGGGTTCAGAGAAAGAATTGAATGTAATAGATAAAAAGCAAAGATGTGAACCGGATTACGGTGACAACTTATGCAAGCGACGAGAGCACCAATCGAAACGACCAAGTGTGACACGAGTGTATTGGAATGAACTCACCAAGTCACAAAGCCGAAGTGGACTCCAGGGATATAACAACAGGACCTTTGCGAGGGAGCAGAGGCTGACACACGGATAACTGAAGATACACTGATCAGTGCGACCAAGAATTGAATCAAGTAAATCCGCTTTTGACGAATGGAAAAGATCGCACAAGAGGCGAGGTAGCTGGATAGCGTACAGTGGTCAAAAGACGGGTAATGACACAGTGACTCGCTGACAACAACGGAACAAAGACCAAGTTTACTAGCAGGCAAGTTCGCCGTTGGAGCTGGGCGAGATTGAAGGAACGAAGCTTTTTCAAGCCCGTTTGAACCACAAGAAACACAAGGTCAAGCTTTTTGGTCAGTGTTATTCAACACTGTTTCCACAAAAGGCTTCCGAGAAGGAAAACTCAAGCGGTGAAACACGACAACCACGCCGTGACAAAGGAAGGCACACAAGTAATTCCGAGTACGTTGGAACTTCAAGTACTTTCGGATCACAAGAAAACTGACAAAGCCAAATTTTCTATGTAGTGTTATTTAACTGCTGTCCTCAAAAAAGGATTTCAGTAAAGAAAACCTCGAACGGTGAAACACGACGATATATATATATATATATATATATATATATATATATATATATATGTATATGTATATATAAAGATCGCATTACTGTCAAGCTCATCAGGCTGGGGAACGCACCAGTTAGTAAATCAAAACCTCGACGCCGCCTGCTTAGAGTGGTTCTCTTCATCCCAGAAGAGCGCAAGATCTTCAAGCTCAAAGGTAGGAATGTTACTGTGCAACCAGACCTCCCATTAGCGGAAGAGTTAAAGTTAAAGGAAACCATCAGCGACCTAAAAGTGGGGCTTGCGAACGGGGTCTAAAATTGGTAGGTTTTCAGGTGGTCAGCCGGCGAACCATTTCCGCCCTGCCAGAAGCTATACTAGTTGCGCGCGATCCTGGGCAGTACTTAGCAACTTGCGTAGTCTGGGGAACAAGATGTACGAGATGAGCCTGCTCGTAGACAAATCTCGTCCAAATATAGCTGCTTTCACTGAAACGTGGTTGTCTGAGGAAATCACGGACGGCGAATCATATCTGCCTGGCTACGCATTGCACCACGCTGACCACTCCATTGACTGTCAAAGGGGTGGAATAACTCTTTATGTGGGTTATCATGTAGACGTATTGATGATCAGCGTTTCTCAGAGGCTTGACAAATCTGTTGAGGCTCTCGCAGTCTTGATTTGGGCTTCCTCGGTTGTTTATAATCTTGCTAGTGTACAGAAGCCCTGTAAGTACTTACAAGGGGATTATTGAGTTTATTCGCACTCACACTGGGAACAAATGTCTGCTGCTGAGCGACTTCAATCCTCCAGAGGTTTGTTGGGCAAATCTATATTGAAACTCGGCGCTGGGATCGTTCGATGCAGACCTGCTGGGCTTGACGCTCCAGATACTACTACACTAATTCGTGGACCTCCGCACTAGCTGCATGAGCAATCAGTAGCCATCCATCTTAGATCGTGTCTTTGCTGTCACTTGACTTTGTATGTGACACTTGGTGCCAGCGACCACGTTTGCTTGTCTTTTCAGTGTGCGCTCACCAGGCTACTAGCGTTTTGTAACCGAAATTTGCACCGCGAACTTTCAAGCGATGCAGGACAAGGCTTCATCATAGCTTTGTGCGATCTCTGAAATGGATAATGTTCAGGTAGATTACCCCTCGATGTTTCTGCATCCTGCATCCTACTGGTGAAAAAATAGGTCGGGAGCCCAGCTTCCATATATAGGTTTCGGGGTCCACCATGCCTTGTCCAGAACAAAATGGCACTAGAAAGGGTGAAGCGTGTCGGTAATAATGAATAAAAATAATGTGTCAGCTGTACGCCGTAACGGCGCTTCGCTGTCCCGCGACCACCACCAGTCGCGCGCGGGCTGAGTATACCGCGAGGACGCCCACCTCTACGCGGATTCGAACCGGTGACCTTATGGTTGCAAAGCAAACGTTCAAACCACTCGGCCACCGGCCGACAACCGTGTCGGTACTAGAATTAGCAGGGACCTAATCCAGAGCCATTGTATGTTAACCGGAAAGGTTGGCCTGGATTCGTTTTGGTTATTTAGTCCTTCCAGATTGTCTGGTCACTAACGGGTATTGCATGAAGCTGGACAAACCGCGATCCGACCGAATTGGAGCGGAAACTTAGCTGTTGCTTAGACTCATGGAGCGCTGGAACTCGGTTTCAGAAAGTGTTGCCAACGTATCTACGGTTAAGGGGTTTGAGCCTCAAGTAAACGCTCTCGGGTGGCAACACAAATCTTCTATAGACCGACTACCATCTTCCTGCTTCGATTCCATTTTCTGCAATTTCCATCACCAGTGGTATTATCCTTTTCTTTCAAAGGATTCCTTACTCTTTACCTTCGATTTTGCTTCCTCTCTTGCATACTTCACGCAACTGACACAGCAGGGACTGCTGATGCAGGGAACGTGGGCATTAATTGGTTGACCAGGGTGTGAATCGGGTGTTCCGTTTTAGATCCCTCAAGAAGTCGGAGCACCTTATTAACTCATGGTTCAACGATCAACTAAAGAACGAACAGTTATGGGATTCTCCTATCGCTAAAGTCCCACCTGATCAATATCAGTACACATTAGCTGAAGGTGAGAAACACTTCAACTATTGGGACGCAATACATAGATAAGACGTATGAACAAGCAAGATACGGAAAATTACCGAAAGCAAAAAACTGGCATGACACCACATAGTAAGATTATGCGCCAAGTGAGAGATCGTGGTTGGAGGGGGAAGATAAGCGGGATGGGGAGGGACAAAGAAACTCACAACGCAAACGCCAATGAGGTCGGCTCCCAGCAAAGTCAACTATTGTATCCAACCAGACGTGTTCGTCGTCCTTCGGACTCCAGCCAAGCAACCGGGACACACTATCCGACGCCAACTTCGAGGTGAGGGGTTCCATTTCTCTTGACCAAATCATCGCTTGGCCACCCCTCTTCTTCGGTCTACACTCCCGGTGCACAAACAACGCACGACGCGAGAGTCGGTGGGCTAGCACGTGCAACAAGTGGCCCAGCCATCGGAGCCTGGTGCATGATCCCTGCTAGCACAAAAAGGACTTTGAAGGCGAAAATGTGCGGTAAAGTCCTTAACCGTCAACTATAAACATGAATCCATGGTTAAGGACTTTGGCGACCATTTTGTGGGCGAAATTTGTCCTTCCACTGCAGCTGTATTAAGTACACAGTGAAGGACTTTGCACGTTGTCCAATCATAAATCAAGGTTTAACAGTGGACGACAGACACACCAGCGGAGCATGAATGGTCGTTGACGATTGACCTTGAACGGCGCGGACCAATAGCCGTGCACGCACCACTACGATACGCACGCACCTAGGCGGAAACCCGGGTACGCCGCACCTAGCCGCTACCCCAGTACGCCGCACCTAGCTGCTACCCCGGTACACCGCACCTAGCCGCTACCCCGGAACGCCGCACCTAGCCGCTACCCCGGTACGCCCCAGGTATTGCCTACCCACCCAAGCTCCCACGCCGCTGGCTGAGGATCTCAAATCCCTACCTGCGCTTCCCGTTAATAATACTATGTAACGCAAGTATCATATCCGCTTACAAATGCAAGGTAAAAGTGCGAGTCATAGCTAAGACATATATTCGCTTGCGGCGTAACAGAATGAATGGCAGGGGAAAGCGAGGTATCATGGTGCACAGCCTGCTGTCACTGAATGGAGGAAACTATGTTTAACATGGCGCACATGCATGGTGCATGCAGTCCCACTAGTCATAGTGATGCCTTAGTATTTCAGTCCCACTGAGCACAAAGATAGAGGGAATGGAATCCGATCATTTCACAGTAAGAAGTCGGTTTACCGACGTATAGTATTGGATACATTAATTGTAAGGACATCAATACTGATAACAGAGGTCCGTGTTCAGTTTGACACCGTTACCGTTCTTCCATGCTGTCGCCGGGGCAGTCCAAGTCCACCAATTGGGGAACCTTATGTAAGGAATGTTATTAAGTAATCCACGATTTCATACCTGCTGGCTGATTGCACAACCTTTGGCAGTGTCGCGCCATGCATTGCCACGAATGGATTTCAAGTATTTCCTAACATATTGTGTAACGTCATCGGGTGACACGTTACTTCCGGAGAAACGTTTTAATAGAGAAGCTAGGACAAGGATTGAAGGGCAAAGATGTTGCTTACCTTGCATTTCGGTGAATAGCTTCGTTTTCCGGAATCCTTGTTTGTTGCGGGAACCGGAGGAATTGATCTCTGCCATCAATGACCGCGTTAGAAGGCGCTGCATCATGAGGCGTACGGTCTCCGACAACGTTTCTCCATGCACACCTTCCAGATAAGTATGCTGCATGCATATGTGAGGTATCAAAGCATCCTACCAATTGTTGCCTGCGTCCTGCATCCTGCATTAGTATATCGAAGGACTGCAGTTCCTCCACCGATGTAATTGGCAAAGGAAGCTGCGTTGCCTGCTGCCCTGGTTGCCCGGCAATCGTTGCAGCCATCGATCTCATGGAGCTCTTCATATACTCCAGTGTCTCCATAATTTTCTGAACATTACCTGCAAACGTAAACCCTGTTTTTAAAAAGCTAGGAAGTTACCATTTATGGACTGCAGTTCATTCTTCATTTGGTCTATATCGCCTGCAAAAAAATGGTAAAACCTCACGTACATGCTTACGGTGAATAGCATTCCAATTGCTTGTAGGAACGGTGATGAAGGAGGAATCGGAGGTGGACTCTAGTACTAGGACAATCAAGCTACAAAGTGTAAGCACCAACCCGATGCCCTTGACGGAATCTGTGGGTTCGACTTTTCACCGCAGTTAGATGCGGTATTGAACGCTGTAGTTTAACATTAAGCAAAATGTACCTCTTACCTGTATAAGCTGGTTTGTATCCACCCATGTTGTATTGCTGGGAAGACCACTGACGTGAGTTTTTACCCATCGAGCGGGCCAACTCAGTTAAAGAACAGATAGGTGGCGAGCCATATGGAACGGCTGTGGGAACCATGCGTTTCCTGGGTGGCTCAAAGTCATCGTCGTCCGAAATCAAACGACGTGGCATACGGCTGTGATGAAATGTTATATAGATGTGGCAACTCACATGAGTCTACGTGGGGGTGTGCCCATGTCGACTGTTGAATCCGTGTCTTCCGGCAGGTTCGAAAGGTCGACGGAGTTTGCTATTGCAGCAGCCTGATCGAAATCCACTGAAGACTTATGACAGCACAGAACTTACTGGTTCGCCGAAGTATAGTCACACGGGCCAACTTACAGTTATCCTCCGCCGGCCGGTGTTCCCTCACAGCGTTAAGGTATTCCGAAGGGGGTACGTTTGGTAGCAACGCCTGCCGACCGTCCGCAAGCAGCCAAGAGCTGCTTATGATTGTAACCGAGCATCCAGTGGACGTGCTCAGGGAAACGACGCAATATGTTAACGAAGCCATAACGCTGAAATAGATGACTTATGCAAGTCCGTTTGCACAAACACTGATTACGAGAACAATGTAATAGCAACGAAACTTTTAATTAACAAATATTGTCTGTACATGAACCCCCACTCCGAAACACCTGTGCGGTCTCCTGAAAAGGTGTGCCCTTGAATGCATCGCCATTGAAAACCTGTCAACGTGTGTAAGATAATGAGCATGTTACCTGCGTCGGTGCTGGTAAACGCCATTCCATGTTGTTCATATTGTTTTACATCGTTTGTCGAGTGCTTGTCAACGCAGATCTTTGCCAGTAACAGTGCATTCACCGCCCTGTGGTTGGCCATTCTGCTGCACATAGACGTATTCACCCTGTTAACAGACCTTCATATGCCTATCGGCCGAATACAGTTACGATCTTGTACCCCCGTTCCAATGTTGCTTCGTACCGCATCATCCACGCTAGCCCAAAACAGTATTGATATGGAACCACCGTATGAGGATGTACTGTCCCTTATTAGGTGAAGTGAATACATGTGTCTGATGGACGCCCCGCGACCATACTCCATGAAGAGGTATTAAGGGACCTCGTATAACAGGATAAGTGCAACCCGTTGAGAAAGAATCCCCAGTCAACAGGTAAATAAAAATTAAAAAATCAGTCCAAGGAAATAAAAAATAAGCATAGCCAGTAAAATAACTGGGCCCTATAGGGCAAAGCAACCGCAATGCTTGTGAAATAATGCCAAGTTCAAGTTCAAGCGGGACTGGAATGATAGGATTATCCCGCGAGTGTTCCTTCTTCGGCGGGTCGTTGAACCAGGAGTTAGCGAACTTTGAAATACTGATGGACCTAAAACAAAAACCGCATCACACCCTGTCCAACCAATTAATGCCCACGTATCCTGCCCTAGCAGTCCCTGCTGGGTCGGTTACGTGAAGTAAGAAAGAGAAAAAAGTAAACGCAGAAGGCAAAAGAGAAAGTGGTAAGAGCTAAGCAAGTGGAATACCAAGATATTTGAGTCAATGAAAAAGAACTGAAAAGTGAAGGTGAGTCGGCTAGGAAAAAGGAAAGGTTTGCTGTTGCCACCCAAGAGCATCGAGCTGGCGCGCAAAACCCTTAACTGTAGGTTCCCTAACCACATGATCTGGAAGCGAATTCCAGCGATCTATAACTCCGCGCGATAGACGAGTTTCCGTCCTAATCCTATCAGACCTTGGTTTATGCAGTTTCAGTGGGTGACCGCGGAGACTAGGTAACGTAGCGGGACTAAAACGCCCTGACAAGTCCGGGCCAATCTTACCCGTCAAAATACGATAAGTGAGAATCAGGTCCCCTCTTATCCTTCGGTAGTGCATGGAGTACATACCCAAACTGAGCAAGCGTTCAGGATACGTCTGTCCCCGTAGACCCTGCACTAACCGAGTGCCCACTCGTAACACCCTCTCCAAGTCAATTTTGTCTCGGTTAAGACATGGTGGACAAGCCTAAATACAATATTCCAGGTGGGGTCGGACGAATGCCGAAAATAGCTTCACAAAGAAATTGGCCGTTAAGATTCCGAAAGAGCGGCGGATAAACCACATCATACGAAACCCTCGACAAGCAGCCTTCTTCCAGTTGTCTCCAGAATGAAGTGCTGATGCGTGTACGACTCCTAAATCAACCTGCTGAGTGACAACAGGGAGTTCACCACCGCCGACGACATATCGGGTGGGAGGATTTGCAGCTCCGATTCGGAGAACAGAGCACTTCGCCCTATTTAGGGGCATCAACCAAAAGATAGACCATTCCCAGAGCCTATCCAAGGCACGCTGAATTGCCTCAGGACCCCCCGGGATATCCACAATATTCCAGAGCTTAAGGTCGTCAGCAAACATTAATGATGACACCCCTAGCTAGCCAAGGTAAACAAATTATGATTGCAATATTATAACCAAAACACTTACGGTGCTTCTTATATCTAACAGACGTCGAAACGGCTTCTTTCCAACTCAAACTTGTTTATCAACTATCGAAAATGCACAAGGAAAAAAGAAGCGCACTACGTGGGAGCAGGATTGGTAACCAAACAGAGCAATGCCAGCGGTACCTGTAAATTCAAAAGCGCGGCAAAATTCAAAAGGAAGGAAGATGATGCTTTCTAAGAAATCACGTACGAGTCTTCGACGGAATACAGCGGGTAAAGAATATTATCATTATTTTTCGGTTAACGTAACATACACACATATGCGCATCCCTTGCTGAACTGCGGAGTAGATCAAGTGCCCACCAATAAATTACTGAAGGATTTTGAAGGACTTTTGAAGGCGTTTGACGACCGAAAAAAGTACTTCATGTGCTAGCTGGGATATAACGGTGCTGAGTGGTTCATTTCTTCTTCTAGTACTGTCCAGGAGAAAGTAAAAATTGCCTTGGAAATTCGCTGTTTTAGCAATTAATCGATTATTAACGATTATGGCCTCGATTTCGAACGTTCCTTATTGTTCTTCTTCTACACGTGATCAAAACCCACCTGCCCCCTCGGCAAAAAACGTGGGGAACCACTAACCTTGACAGCTGACCTTCCAATTCTAGAAATCGAAGGTCAGTAGAGACCTATAAATACAGCCAAGGTCTGCAGTTGTCGTAGTGTTAGTTGGCTGCGATTAATACGTTATTTGTCAGGTTCATTGAAATTTTGCTTTTTTCCTTCGTTTGGGCTAGAAGTTTTGTCGAGCAGTGAATTGTTATTTTCAGGTTGCGTCTAGTGAGAAGATTATAACAAATAGCGACGGAGATATGTGGAAACGTGATGAATTTTTCTGCTGAACAATTTCAAAAGCTGCTTTTTCAACAGCAAGCTCAAATGGAGGCGCCAATGAAAATGATTGAAAATCTGACCAAATGCCTGAGTTTGCAGACAACTGGAGCAGCGACGCGGGACACGCAGGCGTGTTCTGTTGATCTCCTCACGAAAGCCATCACTGAATTCCATTACGATGCGGATTCTGGAAGCACTTTCGAAGCGTGGTTCAAACGCTGGGAAGACATGTTCCAGAAGGACTTCATTTGTCAGGACGGCTCCTGGAAGCTGCGATTGCTACTCCGCCAGCTCGGAATAAGTGAACATTCAAGGTTCATTGACTACATTTTGCCCAAACAGCCGAAGGAGCTGACTTTTGACGAAGCAGTGTCGCAGTTGAAGGAAAATTTTGGTGAGTCGGTATCCTTGTTTAGTATTCGCTATCAATGCCTAAAAATTGTCAAACAGGAAGCGGACGATTTTGGGGCCTTAGCAGACATGATTAACCGTGATTGCGAACGTTTCAAATTGCGCTCTTTAATGGACGATCAGTTTAAGTGTCTCATTTTCGTTAGTGCTCTACAATAGCCCAGTGATGCTGAGATTCGCACGCAACTTATAACTAAGCTGGAGCAGGATCTTGAGCTGACACTGAAGGCCCTCGTAAGCGAATGCAAACGACTGCTCACTCTACAACACGACACTGCCATGGTCGAAGGGAATGGACTCGCACCACCAGAAACCGTGCAACTCGTTAAAAAGACCAGGACCGCCAACGCAAGCAGACACTTCAAGAGGCCTACGAAGAAACCGCCCACAGCATGCTGGTCATGCGGCGAATGGCATTTCGCTCGCTTTTGTCCCTTCAAACATCATATTCGTCAAACGTCCCATAAGCGTGGGCACAAAGAGGAATTCTGCAGTTAAGTTCGGTAGAAGAAAGCGAAGTCTTATCGAAAGGGTAAATCTAGAAAAGATGGCGCTGAGTCTCTGTCCAAAGTTGCGGTATTCCAAAGCGAAGGTAAACCAAGACGACGATTCGTCACTGTGGTAATCAATGGGATCCCAACCAAACTGCAATTTGACACGGCCTCGGGCATCATGATTATTTTCAGAAGGACATGGAATCACATAAAGAGGCCGAAGATGGTCGACTCTCAGAAAGTAGCACATAATGCATCCGGCGGTGCGTTAAACGTTGTGGGCGAACTCAATTGCAAGATTGCTTTCCAGGGTGTGGAAAAGTCGGGAACATGCTACATTTCGGACCGGCCGAATTTGAATCTCCTTGGCCTCGACTGGATTGAAAAGTTGAATCTCCTCGATGTTCCCTTGAATCAGGTCTGCAACCAAATTCGAGCAAGTCCAGACCCATCTGCAAGGACCGTCGAAGACGTGACAGTACCCTGAAGCGAAAATTTGCTTCTCTCTTTCAGGATGGCTTGGGCTACCGTACAAAATTCAAAGCCACACTGAACTTGCGACCAGGTGCTAAACCAGTGTTCAAGGCCAAAAGACCGGTACCATATGCAGCCATGTCAACCGTTGAGCAAGAGCTCGATCGACTGGAACGTGCCGGAGTCATCACAGCCGTCAACTACTCATCATGGACCGCACCTATTGTCGCAGTGAAGAAAGCAAATGGCAAGGTACGCGTCTGCGCTGACTTTTCAACTGGTTTAAACGCCGCCCTGGACGACCACCAGTACCCGTTACCGGTACCGGAGGATATCTTTGCAAAGTTGAATGGTGGTAAGTACTTTGCTAAGCTGGATCTATCCGATGCTTATCTGCAAGTAGATGTTGACCATGTCACGAGGGAGTTGTTGACGATCAACACTCATCGTGGGCTATTCCAATACAACTGATTGCCATTTGGTGTGAAAACGGCGCCAGCCACCTTTCAACAGTTGATGGATATCATGCTAGCGGGCGTTTCTGGGACCGCTGCATATCTGGATAATATCATAGTGATGGGTCGAACACCGGAAGAACTGTTAAACCGGCTGGATGAAATGCTTGGTTGCATACAGTCGTACGGTTTCCGGATCCGTGAGGATAAATGCACATTTTCACGCCGATCATCAAATACCTCGGTTTTATCCTCGAGAAGGACGGACGTCGAACAGACCCGGAAAACATAGAAGCCGTTAGAAAAATGCCTCCACCAAGAGTTCTACAGTCTCTGCGTTGCTTTTGTGGGCTCATCAGCCACTAGACTGCATTCTTGCTTGAGATGCACCGCTTGCGTGCCCCGTTAAACAAGCTACTATCCAACGGACAACGTTGGAACTGGACAGCAGAATGTCAGAATGCCTTCGAACTCCTCAAGTCACTGTCGTCTTCAAACTTGCTTTTGACACATTTCGATCCCTCTAAATAGATCGTCATAACCACAGATGCATCAAGCCGTGGGATTGGTGCATAATTGCACACACCTACACCGATGGTTCTAAAAACGCAATCGCCCATGCCGCCAGAACCCTTACGAAGGCCGAGAAGAACTACAGCCAGATTGCGAAAGTAGCATTGGCCATAGCGTACGCGGTCAAGAAATTCCACAAAATGCTATGCGGCCGCCGCTTCAAGCTTCTGACAGATCATAAACCTTGCTCGCTATCTTTGGTTCGAAAAGGGCATCCCGGCCTACACAGCCAACAGGCTACAACGTTGGGCTCATACCTTAATGGGGTATGATTTCCAGATCCAATATCAGTCGACAGTTTCCATTGGCCAAGCAGATGCACTGTCACGCCTAATTGATACCCGTCAGCAAGAACATGAAGACACAATAGTTGCCTCAATGGAGATAGAACCAGACGTCAACTTCCTGGTAACTGATGCTATGCATTGTCTACCAGTTACCGCAGAAGCTGTACGGACCGAAATACTTCGGGACCCAATACTCAAGAAGGTTACT